GAATTATATTTTAAAATAAATAGCTCCGTGAATTAATTCTGAGTGAGTGCAACCAAAGGGTACATGAAACATGCCTTAATTGCTAATGATTGCTCAACGTATCACTGATAACAATTCTAAAGAAAATTTTAGTAGTGAGTACAATTCTAAAAAAAATTTTAGATTACAAAATTATTATACTGAACTGTGTTATGTTTATGAAAACGAAAAATAGAAGATCGTCATCAAGCTTAATTTTTAAGCAAATTTTAATTTTAAATTGTTAAATCGATCGGTTTCTTAGCTTATTTATGTTTGTTTTCACGCAAAGAACGCTGTTTGCAGATAAACGAAGGAATATCTATATCAATAGACAAGATTTTACATATTGTTTTATTAAAAAAAAAAAAAAACAAAAACAAAACGCTAGATTTTAGAAAAAAGAATTTGAGGTACCAAATAACTAACTGCCCTGTACATTTTATAAAACACAGAAATATAATTTAAATGGTTTGAAAAGTTCAGTGTGTTCATGTCAAAATAAAGAAATTTTATTTATAAATTACAATATTAAAAGAAAGAAATTCGTAGTTCACTTCTATAAATTTACATCTCGAATAATAATGAAACCATTATAATGTAAATTGTGGACATTTACATCCATAGAAAGTACAACAAACGTGTTGAAATTCCTTGCAGACTGAAGGATTCTATGTAATCTCTTGGTTTAAAAAAAAATAGAGTACAAATAGCTATATACCTAAGTGAAAGTGACTTATATAAAATATGATGAAACAATGAGAGGATCTGTTTGAAACTGTCATGTTATATTTTCCATCTTATTGCTTCCAATGACGAGATAACAAATTGTACTTTCTATCGTACTTCAATCTTTTCTTTGTACTTAAAACTATACAATTGTTCACGGCAAAAAGTAGCTAACTTTCAATGATGTATATCTACTTAAAACATGAACTTTAATTTATACCAAAGTTTTGTGTAACATTATCAACATTATATAATAGTATAATTTTTAAAAATTATTATCTGAGATAATATTAATGATTAAGTTTATAGATCTTCATATA